TGATTATGAGCACCGCCGTGAATCCAAACAAGTACGGGCAACAAAGACGAATTCGATGGAATAATTGGTTTGTAAATATTTAGATAGAGACATTCTTCATTTTGATTCGGAATATAATCAGGAGTTTTCGGCTGTAGACAGCATGGGCCAAATGATACTGCACGGTATGAACCATTCGCAAACTTCTCTGAAGCAAGGTCGATGGGCGGTTTCCATCGAATTACTTTTGCGTATTGAATACTAAAGGAGGCATAGAGAATGAGTCATTACAAAAGGTAAACGAGTCGGTACCCGAGATATTCAATGGATGCTTCAGTTTGTCGACCATAAATAATTCCTTGTTGAGTACGAAGTCCAGTGTCAGAATTGGCAGCATGGATTGCTATTATAAACAACAAAATGTGACTTATCTCTTTCATATTTTTTCTCAACGATGAGAGATATCTAATCTAAACGACACTGTGTTGTTTTTATATTTGTTGAAATGTCTTATCTTAGTTGTAACTGTTAGTGAAGTCGCTTCGAAACGACGATGGATAGGTAGAGCTGAAGTTAAATGCCATCGCATCCTTCATCTTCTTCAGGGTGACGCACCAGACAAATATGGATTTTCATGTTTCTTCATTTGAAGTTAATCATTTGTTACGTAAAAGTTTTGACCATCTCATTTTCATGCCCAAGATGAGTAACAGTAGCAAGAATTGATCGATATGTTTTGTTTCACAACCAAAATTGAAATGACTCCATGGAACAAAAACAAAGGGTTAAAGAAATTTATCATAATTTTCAAGACCTTCAACTATCTCATTCGCACCATGTCGCTGAATTCGTCTTTCAAAAAATGAACATATAACAATAAAGTTAATTATTCACGGTCGAAGAATTCTATTGAACTTGTAATCGTTTTTCTGATTCAACAATACCAGACGGCCAAAATCGAGGTATACCTCGTAAAAACGTACCACATTTTTCTTCTTTTTGTAGGAACAAGCAGCGAAGATGCAACATTACCCAATATCATCATAACTGAAATATATTGATCGGTCAGAATTCTTATCAAAATGTGCATAAAATTTTATCGAACAGTTTATCCAACTTTTTTAGATATTCTGTTATTTTTCGATCCCTATGGGTCACATTATGAAGTCTTTATGCACTTTCAAATCCTATTTTATGACTTTGATCGTTCGCACACAACGCATTTGATGTGAATACACTTGCATTATTTATTACTGTTGATATTTGTCAAATCTGAAAAAGAGTTAATTCAATTGCGTGTCTCGTAAATGCAGTTTTGAATGATAAATCCGGTAGACCTGCACTGTAAATTAATAGATGATGCATGATAACGCATACAACAAAACTTTTTCCTTTCGAATTTAGTTAATACGAAGTCTTTTCTCTAGAATGTTTTTATTTTCACGCTCCTCTCTTCTTCTACACGTGTCAACGACAGACACTCCAAGTGCTTAATAATATATTTGATATTCGATATGAAAACTTTCAAAGCCATGTGAAGATTTAGTTCTCATTTCCAGGCGATTCGTCCATATGCATTATAAACAGCAACATATTCGATGCAAGAAAATATAAAAGATCAAAAAGAAGTATTCTGCGGCATGACGTTTTACCATAAAAGCTCAACAAAAACGAGACCTACGTATATCCATCACTATTTACATATTAATACGTTAAAAGTAATCTTGACAATGTTTTATCTATTCAGATCGCACATCCGTTGGATTTGAATTTTTATGCTGACGAGCAAAATTCGTACATTCATCGAGGAAGAGCTATCTAAGAATATCATACATAAAAAGTATAAATCATTTTTTCAAAGAAAAAAACGACATATAGAAAAGAAATAGCATCATTACAAAAAACCAAAACATAACACAACATAAACAGTAAGGTATGAAGGTACAAAGAAAAAAATCATTTACAGGCATCTACGCATGAGATACAACAAGAAACACATACAAAAAGACATAGTGAGCAATTTTACTGACGAACATTGAGCGTCTGTCCAGGTGTGAGGGTGCGTCCCAAAACGATCGCTGTTTTACTCAGATCTCATTTTGAATACTTCTAACTATCAACACTATTATTTGCTACACTTACGACATTTTGATTTTCGACCTCTTTCATATATAACAGTATTATTATTACGCTATCCCTGTCACGGTCTATTCCAATCTATGTAAATTTTCAAATCAAGCCAGTCGATCGCTCGGCACACACCCTTTCGAAGTTCATCCAACAAATTCTCACTACCCGGCGGAATACATACTTTCCTCATACCTTCCCTATCATAAACACACAAGCTACTACCATGAATAGCGAGCGCAGTTTCAGTGACAACACATGCATAGATAGCACCACGCAAAAACATCTGCTCCCCTCTCTCCATACAAACCTTCACAAGTCTACCTGGTGATATCAATTTCCGCTGAACACATTGCCTAGCGATCTTTCCCCACTCACCAGATTTCAATTCTAGATCCCAAAACACTCCTAACGCAGACATCAAACTGAGATAATCTCTTACTTGATCCTCCGACATCAACATATAAGCAGTCGATGACTCCTGCTTTTTACTCCATTCACATTCCAAAGCACAGTCCAAACTAATAATCACTTCCTTCGTGGCTGCTTTTCCTCCCATACGGCCAAGTGCGTCCCATGCCCTACTTCTCCCGGAATTATCGTCGCTTCTGAATGCCTCGAGAAGGCCATCGATCACTTCCTTCGTGGCGGCTTTTTCACCCATATGACCAAGTGCGTAACATGCCGCACTTCTCACGGAATCATTGTCGCTTTTCAGTGCCTCGACAAGTCCATCGATGACTTCCTTCGTCGCTGCTTCTTCACCCATATGACCAAGTGCGTAACATGCTTTTCTTCTCACAGAATCATTGTCGCTTTTCAGTGCCTCGACAAGTCCATCGATCACTTCCTTCGTCGCTGCTTTTTCACCCATACCAAGAAGTGCCTCACATGCTCTTCTTCTCATGGAATCATCGTCGCTTTTCAGTGCCTCGACAAGTCCATCGATCACTTCCTTCGTTGCTGCTTTGTCACCCATACGACTAAGTGCCTCACATGTACTACTTCTCACGGAATAATTGTCGCTCCCGAGCGCCTCGACAAGTCCATTGATCACTTCATTCGTCGCTGCTTTTTCACCAATACGAACAAGTGCTACCCGTGCCCTAGTCCTCACAGAATAATTGTCGCTCCTGAGCGCCTCGACAAGTCCATCGATCACTTCATTCGTCGCTGCTTTTTCACCCATACGACCAAGTGCGACACATGCACTACTTCTCACGGAATTATCATCGCTCCTGAGTGCCTCGACAAGTCCATCGATCACTTCCTTCGTCGCTGCTTTTTCACTCATACGACCAAGTGCGTCACATACACCACTTCTCACGGAATCATTGTCGCTCATGAGTGCCTTCACAAGTGCATCGATCACTTCCTTCGTGGCTGCTTTTTCACGCATATAACCAAGTGCGTCACATGCCCTACCCCGCACGGAATAACTGTCGCTCCTGAGTGCCTCGACAAGTCCATCGATCACTTCCTTCGTGGCTGCTTTTTCATCCATACGACGAAGTGCCTCACATGCCCTACTTCTCACGGAATAACTGTCGCTCCTGAGTGCCTCGATAAGGCCATCGATCACTTCTTTCGTCGCTCCTTTTTCACCCATAACACCAAGTGCGTAACATGCACTACTTCTCACGTAATAACTGTCGCTCATGAGTGCCTCGACAAGTCCATCGATTACATCCTTCGTGGCTGCTTCTTTGCTCATACGAAGAAGTGCGTCACATGCACTACTTGTCACGGATTTATCGTCGCTCCTCAGTGCTTCGAGAAGTCCATCGGTCACTTCCTTCGTGGCTGCTTTGTCACCCATACGACCAAGTGCGTAACATGCAGTTCTTCTCACGGAATCATCGTCGTTCCTCAGTGCCTCGCGTAGTGCTAGTAGGAGCGGTTCGATGGGGTTGGTAAGTGGAATTTTTGATATGAATGACAATACCATGTTTGGATTGATGAGTAGTTGATTGTTTAGTAGCCGGACTATTGTTTGTTGTACTTGTGGTTCGTTGCAAATTGCATTACATGTAGTAAGTGTCCGTTCGAAAAGTTCGGATAAATAGTGCGATCCACTGCTTAAAGCGTATTCGAGCCATTGTGTGATCTTTTCGAGGAATTGTTGGGACTCAGGGAATGTTTCAGGTAGTCCTGTTTCATCTAGACACTGAGTTACAAGCGCCACGTGTCGCGCGCCGATGATATCCAAAGGTTCATTGAGTACAGCGTCCCAAAATGCTCGATTGCATTTCGTTTCTTGGTCCTCGTTTATTAAACCGGATAAAAATATGAAGAGTAATTGGTATCGTTGATTATATTTGTGTTCGCGTATGAATTGCTTTGCTTGGTCGCGTGTATTATTGGAAAGCGCATTGGCTAAGTAACGAGCGGCAAAGTGTTCTTGAAAGCTGAGATGAACGAAGTAATAGTGCTTATCTGCTGTGATTCGTATTCCAATGCCACCTGAATTTGAGTCGTATGATTTTAGTAACCCAACATTGAATAAGTCTGGACAGTCTTTTAACTTGCATCCGCTCTCTTTTTGGGCCTCTTTTAGTAATTGTGGACCTAGAAGAATGACATTGTTTTCCATTCCTAGGAAGGCGAGATTCTCCAAGAACGCCAACTCCTTACGACATTCGTCATAAATATCTGTTTTATCCATTCGATTAGTTTCGATTGGTGACACCTTTTTTTGTTTCTCGAGGTATCGACGGCAGATCCATTCGGTCAATCTATCATATAGTACTGTAATCGTTACTGTTTTTGTTTGTGTCCAATCAATATTGCTCCAAGTGCTGCAAATGAGCTCGAGATTGATGGGAATATGTGCGATGCCCCAAATCCTGGGTTTCGATCTGAGAAAGTTTAGTAAGTTGTCACCTTGGTTTGATGCGTTTCCTAACTGATTGAAGAACAACTTGATGTAGTTATTGATGTTTTCTTCTGTGAAACCTGTGATTTCCATGTGCACGAAGTACGATAAAGTATTCATATATGGACGAGATGTAACGATATGATGTGGAGTTTTGAGCAGCTGTTCGAGTAAGTTTTGCAGATGTGAAGATGTTTCCTGTACTATTTCATCGTAACCATCGAGTAGCCACAGGATTCGACCTGTGTGAATCTTATTTTCTAACGTATTCTTCTCCTCAACTGATAGAGATCGATCGAAAAAATATTGATTTATCAAGATGTCCACGAGATTATACTCTTTGTTAGCGTTATACTTTGGTCCTGTTAGAGATCGTAAAGGAACGAGCACAACCAGTTCATATTCTGACCAAATTGCACCGGTTGCCCATTGATAGGCAGCATATCGACAAAATGTTGACTTTCCAATACCAGCGCGACCAAAAATTAATATGCGTTTATTCTGATCTTTGCATTTTTCGAAAATATCTTTAACCTTAATTGGAGTCTTACTGCCATATATATCTTCGTACGTGTCAATAATTGTTCCAATGTTTTGAGTTTCTTTAAGTTTCCCCTCTTTCTCCCGAGTTTCTTTGGTTTCTACGATGGCCAAATTGATATAACTCTGGTCGATTGGAAAAGTTACCGCTGGATTCATGAATCGTTCTATTTTACTGTTGCATAAATATTCATATTTAATCAGTTCGAATCGAATGTTGAGTCGTTCTGAATTTTCTTCCGGTACATATACCATCTTTCGAAGTGTCCACAATAAATAATCCATTTCAGAATCAATATCATCCGACGGTGAGAAATGCCGAAAATCTTCTTGTTTCACTCCCTCCAGAATAAGACTCAGCCAACGAATCGATCTCCAAGTTTCTTCCGTTTTAGTTAGACATGGAATGATCTTCTTATGACGCTTTTGCGCATATTGGAGTTCTATTTGAGAGCGCGCTGAGCTTTCGTATTCCGGACTGAGAAAACATACGATGAATGCTGCATTTTCTACTCCAATTGCAAGGCTGAAACAGAGATATACCGATAGCATCAACCATTTAATGTTTACAGAAATATTCGTACCTGTCATAAATATTATTATTCGATCTATTTTCGTCGAACCAAACTGGTATCGACCTATTATGCAGATATTGATATATTTGCAAAACAACAGCTTTGTCATTGTTCTCATAAGACAACATGACATGTTTGCCTTGTGGAATATTTGTACTGAAAGCAAGAAAAAACAGTATCGATAAATCTGTTGCAACATATGCTAAGTCTTTTAGCCGTCAATATTTCCCAAATAAATCGAAAGGAAGGATAGTCAAATAATATACTTACCATTCTTCGAACGAGTATATGAACGGTTTGTTGTCGATTTCAACTGGTTCACTTTTACGGTGCACTCGTGTACCTGGCATAAGGATAATTTCATGTTCGTAGTTAAGAACAGCTGAATATTGCGAAATATCTTTTCCATTTATGACTTCAATAGCATAAATAGTACCAGTTTCTCCAAGATAAGGTTCGACAACTTTGAGATCTTTCGAAGTCGAAGTTACTCCCCACCAAGTTTCGTACTTATCATCAGAATTAGCATCAATTATCTGCGACCTACCACGCCACACGATACCTTTGAACGAAGGTAACTTATTGAGAGCCGTGATGAAGAACTTTAAGTATGGAAACCATGGTTTTAACGGTTCTTTGTCCATGGCTCGAAGACGACCGTTTAGCCTTGAGGAAAAGCCTGAGCCGGTCATTGTATAAAGATAGATGGTTGCAAACTCATCCTCTGTTAATAGACAGGGTCTCTTGTATTTTTGCTTTGCTTGCGTTACGTAATCATCAATTCGAAGGATTTCGTGTCTGATGCCTTGAATAGCTTCTTCCAATGTTGTGATAACTTGGTCTTGATAACCGTAGATCGGACTGGTACTTTCGTCTCCATATAGAGTATCACTTGTATCGACGAATCTGTTTTCCATTTTAATACTTTTCTTTGTAAAAGCTATATTACAAATAGTCTAGAATGATAAATATAAATGAAACTACTATCGGAATAAAAAAAAAAGGCAGGTGGGTATAACGTTTATAACATTTTAGCAAAGCCAGTTAGAGACGTGAGGTCTTCATTGTTCAAAACAAAGTATCACAATATACTATAGATCACTTCTTACGGACAATGAAAGTCCCAAGCCTCTTAATATCTTCACTAAAATGTTATAAGAGTTATACCCACCTGCCTTTTTTTATTATTCCGATAGTAGCTATTTTTCTGGAAGATATATGTGCGCTCATGGCACTAAGGATTTTTCAAAAATTTCTTTCTTTCGACTTTCATTGTCCTGAAACCATAGAAATCATTTGTTTATATACTCGTGGATGGAAGACAAAAACAGAAAAAACTCCTGATAGAGTACATCAATATATGTACCAAATTATGAAGAGAAAATCGGTAATTTATTAGAGGTTTGCTAGAAAATATCGATAGAAAAAGAAAATATCCTTATACGAATGTTTTCTTTTTTTTTCATTTTTGACCTTAACAAAACGACAAATGAATAGAGAGCCATTAAACCTCCATAACACTTTATAGACAGTCTTGAACACCAGAACTTCTTTTCCTCCTCATAGCTATTTACACAAACACTGACATGATGGCATAGTTATTTTGTGTAAATTTTTGGATCATTACAGCATTAATCTTCTTTCTCTACGAAGGATTACGCAAGAGGTTTCTTTCCACCCTACTGAACTCTTCTGATAAAAATTTAGTACGACACTATAGACGCAAAACCTCAGTCAGAAAATCTGTTTATTTTTGGTTGTCACTTTATTTGGCGTTTATCTCAAAATCGTATTACTAATTCATGCTATCAGCACACACACTCAGCTTTTTAAATCTGTACATAGCTTACTCTCACTAACACCCACTTTGTCCGACTCTTAGATGAAAAAATTATGAATAAAGAGGAAAAAATTATCCCCCTCAACATTAACACCCAATATATCTCCTATGATCTTGACAAACATCCAAGTGGGTATACACTAAAACCTACAGAATTGTAAAATCTGCATTTTTGAAACAACAAACGACGTTCTCCCTTTGAGTATTAGGGGCCGAGGTGAGCATCTGGGTGGAATTCATAACGGTCTCAAATTAATACGTCAAAGCAGATAAGACGCTTCATACTCACGTAAGATACCTTTGGGTAGGATTCGACATTTTCTTGAGCGGATTCGTTTAAGCGAAGGTTCCATTCAAATCAACACTGGCTCCAAGTACAACTCGATGAGCTCTATCAGTTTGAGTCATAAAAAATTTTCATCACACCCACATTCTCACCCTACACCCACACCCTCACCCTTACTGTTAAAATCGCGGTCGGTGGTTGTAAAACGCATCCACCCCAGTTTTTCTCTAGTTTCAGGTTTTTTTTAGGTTTTGAGGGTGAAGAAAGAGCTTTTTTGGAAATTTTATTTTTGGAAACGATAGAGCTCCTCAGTTTGTACTTGGAACCAGTGTTGGTTTGATAGGAACCTACGCTAAAACGAATCCGCTCAAGAAAATGTCGAATCCTGCCTGAAGGCGTCCTACGCTTTTTCTAAGCTAAACAAATTTCGGTAGTTTAATGATAAACACGACCACTTTGACGATGGTCGATGAATCGTTTGTCGAATTTTTTTCGTACATACCACCGAGTAGATTAAGCTAGCTAAAATAAAAACATACAGGTTTCTTTGTATGAGACATCATTTTGTTTTGATTTTGTAAAAGAAAACTCTGAAAGTGAATGTGAATTAACAATATAGACACAGACACACATATGCGAACATCTCTGACTTCTTTTTTGTTCTACTACTAATGTTTACTGATTGCTCGACGAAACCAAAGCAACGTACTTAGCTTCTTCATTATTGCGTTGCTCATAGAAATATTTATTTAAAAGTATTGTGTATTTTACTTCCTACGAGAAAGCAGCAACACTTTTACTTACGTGAACTTTGTAGATGTCTTAAGACATTGATTCGCGTAATATTATTCTGACCATCTGTGACGTTTACACATACACTCTATTCAGAAAAATAATGTAACATTAACGTAGTTGATTATTTTACGGTGCAGAAGGGATGATGGATAAAAAATGATCTTGTGATTTCTCATGCTGTTTCCAGCTTAAAAATAAAGTTTGCTAGTGTTGCCAGCCCATGAGAATATTCTCTAAGTCAGAACACGTTCTCCTTAAATTTAAAACTTAGACAAAAAATTGTTTAATTCGTCTAAGATTCAAATTCAATCCCCAGTAAAATAGAGGTTTTAATGCAACATAACGAGATGTGGATTCGAATAAATGCTTGCTCGAAAGATATTCTTTATACTAACAACTTTTTAATGCGGTTTACATAGATCAGATCTCTACATTTAGTGCATTCTATCGATTCGAATTGAATTATTTTCTAGCTGACAGAGTATTCAGTTGTGCTTTTCTTTTCTCCGAGTAGGAAAAAAGAAAGAAAAAAATAGCGGAGCATATTTTTCTCGGCCGTGTCAACGTTGTCATGGTATTCTTCATTTTCTGTGGGTTTTTTCCCAACCACTCACATAGAACCAATGCTTCAAAAGACATCTGCACAATGCTTCTTCTAATGTGACAGTTTCAAGTGATATATTTCGATAGTGTTAAGTCCGTATAGTGTGGTAGAACTAGTTTATTTCAAAATAGTAAAGCAAGACACCTTTCCATAAAAGACGAGAGCTATTTATATAGTATGCCACACACCTAGTTGGAATATACTAAATAGATTTCATCTAAGCTTGTAAAATTCCAAAGATATTATTACAAGGCAAGAAACCTAGATGAAGCTCTTTGGAAAATCCCTATTAGGATCGAGAATGAGTGATATCTATAGTAATCATATGTATATAAGAGAAGGAAGAGAACGAACATATGGAAAAGACCCTATGTCATGAGTTATCTTATGGTACGTCATATTACGTGCCATAACAATTTGTCTTTGTAGTATTTGCTGCTATCCTTCTCGTTGTTGATGCAGCCACCGGTGGACACATTAAACCAGCGAATTTTACGCCAGCACACAAGAATGATTTCAGTTATTATGGCCATTATAATACCGATTGGATCATACCCATTTATTGTGTTACTGGAGTGGCCTATGGAATGGTCGAATTAATCAGAAGAGTCATTCCACGAGATATTGTCGGCGGCGATCCTGAAAAGTTACAAAGAATGGATGCTCTGGTACATATATTTTACGAAGTTTCAGGCACTGCCGGAGCTTTTGCAACTGCTTTGGGCTTGATTCCACGACTTGGTAACAATTATGCCTTTATTATAACTCCTATTCTCTTTACCGTTCGTGGAATTACATGGATATTTCTTGGCACTTTACAGTTCAATAAATCTAATTCAGCAGATGAAGAAACTGAACAATCAAATTATATCAAAACTATCATTAAAAAGATGCTTCTTTTCGCTCGCTCAATCTATGTTGGAGGAAAACTCGTCTTCACTCGACGAGAGTTTATTTGACTGTGGAGTGGATACGCGATTGCGTTGTATGGTCATCGATATCTTGAAAATGGTATTGCTCCACAAGTCGCGAGGCGATATCTTGGTCATTCAGAATGGTCACAAATTATTGTAGGTGGCTCAAATTTTGGCGAACTACTCGGAGCTTTCTCCGTCTTTCTTCTTGCTAATTATGTTAAAACACCGATACCTTGGTTACGCTTAGATGCAATCATGTTACTGATTATTTGGTACATTCCATACTATTATCCATCTGTAGGTGAAGTGAAATGTGCTTGGATTATCGCTGCTACATTTATTCCTATCTCTTTTGGTTGGGCAGCGGGTGATGTGTCTCTTGCAGCATATATTCAGACACTATTGGGACGTCTTGAATCCAAAGATAAGGAAGTTTCACCGTTAGGTGCTGTCATGGCTTTTCTATATTCATCTTACATCATCATCTATGCCATTGCCAATCCACTCCTAGGTAAATATATCGATAGTGTCTACAATTCAACAGGAAGTGTCAGGCCAGCACTTGTCAATACAGCTGCTGTTCAACTAACTGTCATTTCAGTTATGGTATTCATTTCGACGATGATTCCAAAAGGTGCGATTGCGTGTAATCCAAAACTAGATGATGACCAGGCTGTAGAAAATGCTGAAACTATAGATGCTGTACCGAACAGTACACCTCCAAAATATTCAATTTCTGACACAGTTGTGCATGTCTAAGACTTTGTATCCCTTGCTTCGAGAAAAGACTGTAGTAATGCTTTGATAGTTTTATTGATATCGTTCTACTAATTTCTTCGAAATCCTTGATATTATCTTCTTTTAATATTTTATGAAATATCAATAAAAATTGAAATTAAAATGTAAAGTTTTATTTTATTAGAGATCCACAGTCAAACCAGGATTCTTTTTCGATTCAATAGCCTGACGACCTTTTTCTCCAATATCATTCATTGTGAGAGAAAGTTTAGTCAGCGTCTATAAAAGATTCAAAGAAGAAATATTAGTGAAACATAGTTAAAATAAAACAAATATACTTCGTTATTTGCTAATACTGTAGACAAATATTGAACACCATCATCGCCAATTTTAATTCTTGACAAATCAAGTGCGGTCAATGTCTATTCAGGTGATCGAATGTAAATAGAAGTCTGAGATTGTTGAACGAAAGTAAAACAGAATTACTTTGTTATCTCTAAGAGAACCAGCTAGATATTGAACACCTTCATCGCCAATTCTATTTCCTGACAAATTAAGTGTAGTCAATGTCTATTCACATGATCAAATGTAAATAGGAATATCTGAGATTGTTGAACGAAAGTAAAAAACATTACTTTGTTATTTCTAAGAGAATCAGCTAAATATTGAGCACCTTCATCGCCAATTTTATTTCCTGACAAGTCAACTTCAATGAGCGTCTGTTAACATGATCGAATGTAAATAAACACACGAGATTGTTGAACGAAAGTAAAAAACATTACTTTGTTATTTGTGAGAGCATCAGCCAAATATGCAGCACCTGTATTTTCAATTTCATTCCATCCAATGTTCAATGAAGTCAACGTCTACAGGAAAATTCATAGGAAATAATGAGAACAACGAACAAAATAGTTACTGTATTATTTTGTAGGGAATTAGCAACATATTGAGCACCTTCATTTCCAAGGTTATTACTTGAAAGACACAGCTTATTCAGAACCTATTTGGAAGTACATGGATCAGTATAAATTAACACAACAAATAGACGATCAAATTTACCGTGTTGGTTTCTAATCCATTGATCAAATGTTGGATATCTTCGTTTTTGAGTTCACAACTATCAATGCTAAGATTAGTCAATGTCTATGATAAAAGAAGCAAAATCATGAGAAAATTGATAGAAAAGCAAGTAAACCTTATTTGTACGTAAAATATTAGCTAATTGTTCGCTTCCCTTAGCTCCTATTATACTAGAATCCATTACAAGTGAAGTTAATGTCTAAAAACACTAGTCAAAACCACGAAATAAATAGAAATAGAAATCTACTTGATTATCTTGTAAACTATCGAAAAGACATTGAACACCTTTTTCTGCGATACCATTATTGAAAATAGTTAATTGCTCGAGTGTCTATGACGAAGAGAAGAATAGTTATGTCGAGGCAAAGAGTTTCTTTACTTGATTAGATCGCAAAGCTTCAGCCATCGCTTGTGCACCTTCATCTCCCATTTCATTTGCTTGAATAGAAAGTTCAATAAGTCCCTGCATAAACAAACCATATAAAAACAAGAAAGTACAGAAGTGAAATAATCACTTTATTTGTTCGTAATGCATCAGCTATATGTTTAACTCCTTCAGCGCCAATTCGAGTAAATCCAATGTCAAGTGTTCGAAGTGTCTATACAAAGAAATACATAGGTAAAAATTAACATAGATTACGACATACTGTATTTGTTCGCAAGATATCGGATAAATATTTTGCCCCTTCACTGCCGAGTTCATTGTTAAAAAATTGTAATGAAATGATCGACTAAGATAAAATAAAACATGAAAATAAATCTAGAAATTAGATTTACTGTGTTTTCTTTTAAGGTATTTGATAAATGTTGAACAGCTTCAGGCGTAATACCAGTATTAGAAAAATCAATTGATTGCAGTGTCTTAATCAAATAAAAACAAACAACTACGAAATGTTATAAGAGAAAAAAGAAGATTCTACCGTATTTGTTTTCAGTGCATCAGATAAAATTCGAATTCCTTCACTATCAATAGCATTGGCCGTAAGCTCTAATTTAGTACATGTCTACAATATGTTAACATTACTGAGATTTCCATTCGTATTTTATTCTCACGGTATTTGTTCGTAATGCATCAGCCACTATTTGGATATTTTCACCATTTATTCCTTTCACTGATAAGTCCAACGTTGTTGAATCTGCATTTTCGGTGATATATTCTTCTAAACTAAACGATTCTTCCGGGATAATATCGATATTAGACTCTAGGTTTTCCGGAGCTTCATCTTTCGGAAAAAAGCGTCGGTTAATCAATTGAGCACCAGACATCATAAACCAAACAAGGAAAATGCATTTTCCAAGCCAATAGAACATAAAAAAGTCGAACAAACGATGCAAAAAGTATTCAACACATCCCAGCAATGCATAAACAAACCAATAAGTTAATAAAGCTCTTTCATCGAACATTCCAGGAATTTTAAGGGTTAAAACTCTTTAAGAAAAACAACAATAGGTTTAATTATAAAACTCTCTTAACTTACGACGCAAATGTTGGATAAAGAATACCAATGAAATTGCAAAGAAAGTCATTTCCCCATCCAATAACCCGCAAAAATACCCGAAAAACCTGAATGAGATGAATAAATAAAAAACATATTCGATTGAAATTTTTACCAAGTGCAAAAATTGAGCGGTCTACATGAAGTTTTTCCTCGATAATATCCAGAAAAGGACTAATTTGTTCATTGTACAAGTACGAATTGAGTTTGCCCTTGAGTTTATCAAGGACCGAGTGAAATACAGACACCATTATTATGATTTTTATGCTTTTCGAAATATTTTATCAATCTAAGAACTACAACTAATATCAACAAATCAAACCATTGTCAAACTTAACTGAACCATACGAAAATCGATGGCATTATGCGTATCTCTATGTATTATACTATGCGAAAAAAGTGCATTAACTCTTATTTTGCATGTCGGATGATTGTAAGCCTATCGCGCGCATACGCCCGAATGAATGAAATAACCAATTAGTTGACTTACGTTCTACAATGTTTACCTGGCGGACTAAACAGGCGTTTTTTTCATGTTTCTACTTTTCATAAGAAGAAAATCATCAATATAAGAAATGCAGATGAAAAGAAAATGTTTTTCTGAAGATATTATTTTGCTCAGATACAAAATCGAGAAACTATTTATTAATAGTTTAACTTAAACGAAACCAACGATTCAACAAATATTCATTTGATTTCAGCGCCTCATTATCGTTTCTTACTCATAGATTAGAAATATAAAATATTTTCGTTCGTTTTATGTGTTTATGCAATACGTTTTAGTAATTCCGCGTGTTTTAGCAAAACAAGCCTCGAAGCAAGAACGAAAAAAGAAGTGCTGTTAGCTACATTTGATATTTTTCTTTCTTCTAGTGAATCTATAATTGGTCAAATAGAAAAAAATAAATACGAGTACCGGAGATGATTGTAGGGTAAGGGTTATCTTGTTCTGCTCTACCATTATGTAGCGTAGGGCTTAAGGTATTGCTCGAAAAATATTTCAAATCTGGATTGAACATATTCATACGAACTCATCAAAAATTTTCTGCTTCTGTAATTATTTTATTACAGATAAGCTAGAAGGGATGTGTCATATGCAATTTGTCGGATACCCGATCATTATATCTAATTAGTAAATTTCGGGTATCAATAATACAATAGCAAGAGCAATACAGTATTGAAGTTTCAGTATTCCCTCGACTGAAAGGAGGGTCATGTCGAAAAAAAGTGGTCAAAAAACGGAAATTCGTTTGTGTGTGTGTGTGTGTCTGTCGCAGGTCAAAGGTCAAAGGTCAAAAAAACATTTTTTCCAAAAACGCTCAAAACTTCATAAAACATGGTTTGGGAGGGTGGTTGATGATGGATGTTAGTTCGAGAAAGCATCGAGATTAACTGTGATAGCGAAGGCGGCCGAAGACCGTCTGAGCGCTCCCAGAGAACACTCCACGCGTGGTATACATTTATGGGTGTTGCAGTGGTTACAGGGAATCGATGGAGTCAATCAGTAGCGATGCAGGCTTTGAAAAGATTGAGATCAACCTCGATTGTGGATCAGAGTGAAAGGGAGGGTGATTGAAAAGATATAGTCTATAGGCTGACGTGTCAAAGTGGCAATGAAATCTATAAATGAACGACTGGAATGGAGAATAAATATCAGAGTAAAAGAAAATTAATCAAACTCCTACTGCAGTAATAAGATTCAGCAACGTCTTTGCGTTCAAAACTGCAGCCGAAGCAACCGTGTTGTGCAATGGAAAATCGGAAACAGAAGGACCGCAAATGTCGAAATTTTGAGCATGTTGCTTTTTCTACCCAGTAGAATTTCTCCGTATGTCATACGCTCGCCATAGATATTTCGTATTTGTCATCGAATACCCATGCTACTGGCATATAATGAAAACGCCTAAATATCTGCACCAGAACTGCTGCTCCAAACAAAATCTCAACTATCGCTCAGAGAGCTCTTTAAGACCATTCCGTATCACACCCGCAGTTTGCAGCAGTTCCAATCGCTCAACAGTCGAAATGAGTAATATCTGTATATTCAGGAACAACTCTGTCCTACACAACCACTGCCCACTATGTCGGCTACCATCTCGCACAAATGCATGAGAAATAGCGCAGATCCTGACTCGTATGGAACCAAACGGTCACTCATCGCTTCTACCACACCAACTTAGACAAAGACTACTGTATCCAAAAAATACTCTCAAGATAATTGGGAAAAACCAAAACTTCTTCGGATGTCAAAGTGAATGCAATTCGACAACACACAAGCAGATTCTCACATCAACACTATCAAAATTAAATCTTCATTTCTATCCAAAGAGTAAAAACACCGATCCTCCCAGTTCCCCGCTACCTGATTCCATCAGCACCGCAAATTCTTATTCAACGTTGAAATGAAGCTTCTCTCAATTCACAAACCATGTAATAGCCAAAATCATAAGACTCGATATCCGAACTACATTCCCCTTATATATAAAAACCTACCACTTCAATCCTTCCGATAAACAACAAAATTCGAATTTACCATCAAATTCTCACCTCCGCTGCACATATACCGATGTCGACCAAATCTAACAACATACCCGTGACCCTTTCTCTGTCTGACAACATAATTTTTGAGCATGACATCTCCTTTGTCACTGCGAAACACAATCTCTATTTCACGAAAAATTACCAACGATATCTAGAACCGATCGTAAAAGCGACTTCCCAGTTAAGATTCACACCAACAATCCATACATATCCAACTGCACATATCTGCGAACACGGAGGAGAGCATTCCTTCGTGTGAGGATATCTGTGTATAGGTGAAAATGTTGAATGCTATTGCGAATTAATTGCTGTGTCTGATGGTATAGTTTTGGATGAAGGATTTTAGGATATAGTAATAGATAGGATAAGAGAAAATTTCATTGTTGATATTCGCTACATTTTATGTTTTTTTCATTTGGTACCATCCGTACATACACTTTAGTGTGTGTATTTGGTTTTGGAACGCGAGTTAGATGGAGATGGATGATTAGTTAGGATGAATATACTTGTGAAGGTGAAGATGCGACGTGTAATAATGGTCGGTCTGATCGTGACGGTATGGGATGGAAGCAAATGATCTGTGCACGTATCATAGTTTGTTATCACGATTATGTAAGAGATTATGCGAGCATATGTGCTTTCAGTTGGACGTGTTGAAACTAATTTCATTCATTTACTATTTCGGTTTGGTGAAGCTGGTTGCTCTTCTCTCTGTCGAAAGTTGCTCGGCATTCGCGTTGAATCGTCCTCTCTGAAATTAAAAAGTGTCATGCTGTTTTGGATAAATTCCATTCATTGTAGTATAAGTTTTCAAAGTTGAGAAATGATGTGATTGACGAAATCAGTGGAGATAAACTCGAAGTTTAGATAGAATGTAGCATTTTTTTCTAATTGATTTCCTTTTCGTTTTGATTTAGCATGGGTCCATATGTTTCGAAAGTCTCAAACTATGATACGCAAATTATTTCATACAATTCGTGTGATGCGGCTAAATTGCTTGAACAGATAACAGTTGTGATCAATGAAAATGTTCGCAATGGAGTTCATAAACTTGTGAGCGTACTTGCTGTTAACAATACAGTTATGCTCATTAATATGCTACTGCTTTCACTAATGATTGTTGCTATTGTTATCTGGTGTTTATTTCAACATTGTCGAAGTGCAGTTGTAGAGATATGTGTCATGGACGAACCATCGGCTTATTCGATCGATACTCCAGCATCGGCTAAAAAGTCTCCAGAAAAAAATGAAGATGGATATAAAGTCTAATATCCTCGATGACATGGCGTCAAATGACATTTTTCTCCTGTTTCTGTATGCATTTCAATAGATTCATAGTTAGATTGTAGCTACATGTACTGAGCATTGTTTCATTCCCTCGACTGAAAGGAGGGTCATGTCGAAAAAAATGGTCCAGAAATCGAAATTCATTTGTGAGTATGTCTGTCGCAGGGTGCAGGTCAAAGGTCAAATTACATTTTTTTTGAAAATGTTCAAAACTTCATAAAACATGGTTTCGAAGGGTGTTTTGAGACTGAAAGTTGGTTGAGAGGGTGAGGACATGTGAGATAGGGTCGATGTTAAACGTACGTTGAGCCCTGAGGTCAACGGCCCATAAGAGAATTTCATTATGAGTGAAACAAAGATTAGGTAAAAGTTTTCATAACTCCAAATGTGCAAGGAAATGTATCATACATCGAAACTGAAAGATTCATTCTCAGAATGTAATGTAACTTGTATTTGTGATAGTAGGAAAATTTCCTTCGAAACACAAGTCCAAAATACAATTCTGATTTTTTTGCTTCTGCTGGTGGGACTATAGAAAACAGACAGCGAATAATCTTGTATAAATTATTGTTAGTATTCATTTTTGCTAGCGTACCGAATCACAAATTGGACACCAGAAGAGGATGTATCTCACACTCAAGTATAATAATGCAGAGAAGAAAGGTAATGATCGTAGACTAAATGAACGAGATTTGGATATGATAACGTCTCTATTTCATACTTAGAAACATTTTGACACCTTTGGATTTGAAATTTACATGAACACTCATCTTTCTTCACGTAACTCTTCATTTTATTAGGAAAGGGAGAACACGTATAAGGTATG